GCGACGGACGGGCTGTTCGGCTGGACACGTCCGTCTCTCATCACGGCGGTGCCGTGCAGCTCGCGGAGGGGCCGTGCTCCCGCGCCGCTGTGGTTCACGCGCAGCGCTGCGGTAAAGACCCCGAGGCGAGGCGGCCCGGTCACATTCACATCGGGGAAAACAAACCGCGCTCCCGCTCCACCACGGGCTGATCGCTACGGGTCTCCACACCCACCGAGCGGTTTGGTGTGACGCGCCGCGCGAAGCGGGTGCTCTGGAGCCGGACACCTGGCCGTGAACTCGGTCCCGGTCGCGCGTGTTCCGCGACGGCTGTAAAGGGAGATTCTCCTGTATCTACAGAACGCCACACGAGCCCCCCACCTCAGCCAACATTAGATTGAACAAAGGGAATAACACACACGCACGCACTCGGGTGTCACCCTCATGAGCCGCTCTGTGGTGGCAGCACGATGGGAGTGAGGGGCCTGCTGTCCTGTGCGTAGCGACAAACACCGCTCCGTGTTGCCCTTGGTGCGCCCGTCCCGTCGCTGTCGCGCTCGGGGCATGTTGAAGGTCCAAACACGCGTGATGGAAGCCTTCATTTCCCCCGTCCTTGAAGCAGAGCGTGAAGAGCTCTCGGGCCGGCGGCCGCTGCTCGCGTCGCGTCTCTGCGGTCCGTCAGAGCGCTCGTTTCGGCCTGGCTGGCGCCCAGGGACACGCAGGGCTGCGCTGCAAGCCGAGCCGTGCCGTGCCGGGACTGTGTCTTGACCTGCAGCTTCTGTTCCCCCCTCAGGAGGAAAAAGAAAGACGAGAAGCTCTCTCCAGGTCGCTGTACGCGAGCAGCCCCAAGCCGGGAACCCCAGCAGCCTGTCGCAGCAGAACCATGGATGGATTCTACGATCAGCAAGTTCCCTTTATGGTCCCTGGCAGTGTAAGTCTTTTGCTGGCAGGGATACTGTGGTCCGATTCACTTTAGGGCCAACGATGCAGTTTGGTTTGCATGCTAAGGGGCACTTTGCTTTGGTATAGAAGCGAACATTAGGTGTGCTCAGGAGCGCCCCCCTCAGGACAACTTGTGTCACTCTCATTTGTGCTTGATTTCGACGGGGCTCTTCCTCGTGTGGAGTGCAGGCGCGCTTTTGCGGGACGTTGGCTAATGTTGTGTCCATCCCTGCAGTCACAGGTGGAGGGGCCTCGTGGGAGACCCGTCAACGAGAGGAAGAGGAAGTTTCTGGACACAGAACTGGCTCACGACTCGGAAGGTAATTCTAGCGCCTGTCCTCTCTGCCCGTGGAGCGGCACACCGCCCCCTGCTGGGCGTGCCCTCTCCCTGGAGCTGTCCCCGGCTCGTTGGCCTCGTCCGCCCAGTCCTTCACCTCGCTCGGCCCTGCCCCCCCGCTGCCCTCTGACCTCCCCCGGCACTGAGGTGTCGCTCGCTGTCCCCCCAGGAGGTTAATCTCCCAGCGCTGTTCCCAACCCCTCGCTCCGCGCGGTGCTCTTCCCAGCCCAGCCCAGCCCATGACGGCTTGCGGGTCTCACCGTGCATTGGGGGGTGGGGTGTTTGGGACCCCTCCAGTACGGGATGGTAATCATTCTTCCAACTTCTGTCTGCAGAACTCTTCCAGGACCTGAGTCAGCTACAGGAAATCTGGATAGCTGAAGGTGAGTGCAGTCTGTACCCCACATCTCCCCACTGGATCTCGGGGAGTCACTGGAAGTTTGCGCTTTAGACTGGGGTCACAGGGAGCAGACAGGAGGTCCTACTTTTGGACAGATCAGAATTGGCTCCTTTAGCGTTCCCAGTGAAACTCAAGTTGGGAAACCATTTATCGTTTACCTGATAGGAAAACAATGTAGGGAGAGTCTTTCAAGTGTTGCAAGGCTATCTTATTTTGTCTTTTTAATCATTTAGTGTTTACTCTGTACACAAGAGCAATCTAGGAGAATTGAATAAGAGCTCTCGAAGAAAGATCAGTCTTTTCTCCTACATGGAAATAGTGTCTATCAGTGAGGATAGCATAGTCTGTTGTATCTAATGTTAATGCATGATAGAAAAGATTAAACTATAGCAGCAGTGTTGCAGTAAAGATAATTAACTGGGGTCAAAGGAAGCATATTTTATAGGTTTCCAAGTTTAATATTTCAGTTGAGGTATATTTACTCAAATGTCAGGATAAAGTTTTACTCCAACATGAGTTTCGCACTATTTTTACTTTCTCTAAATAGATGCAAGTGAATCATGAATATTTAAATGGTACAACTGCCTCTGACAAACATACAAGGGTTATTTATTCATGTTTTGAAAGTCAAAGGCCTTTGAATTCCATGCAAAGGTCATGAAGAGTATAAACTCTTAACATGGGCCACTGCAAACCCATTCTTAAAAGGTTTGTGGATTGTAGAGAAGATTGTCTGCCTGTGGTTAATTGTACCTAATGTACCTGTAATTGCATCTAATACCTTCAGTTCAGATCAAGTTCTGTGTATGGTGGTTTGGACAAGTTCTTTGATAAAGGAAAATAAATTTGGCTTGCCACCTTTAGAAAAGAATTTGGCTTGCCATCTTTAATGGGAGGGCAGGCAGTGGTGGATGAGATATTCTTCTTAGTCATGTTAATGTTCAAGGACTCTTGCATGACTTGTAGGCGGACCTTTCTAATATTCCTGAGAATCCAAACCCAGCCAGGTTTTCATGTGTGGGTCCACTTAGAACTGGGGTGGAGGGGCTGGGGCACAGAGGAGGGGAGACTGGAGTCTGTTGGAGTCCAGCAGAGTCGAGGTTTAATTATTCACACTGCTCTCTTGCTCTGTCTCTCCGTGCAGCTCAGGTTCCTGATGATGAGCAGTTTGTCCCAGATTTCCAGTCTGATAACTGTGAGTATACCCTGGCCTTGTTTGTTTATCCAGTGACTGTGGGGGTGGTGGGGTGGGGGAGCCTTCGAGAAATGAAAATGCAGTTTCTAAATGACGCTCCCTGGGGGATACCGGGAAAGCAATCGATTATGGAGATAATCGATTGCTTTCCCGGTATCCCCCAGGGAGCGTCATTTAGAAACTGCATTTTCATTTCTCGCAGCCAATTGAGCTGTGCGCCGAATAGCGGTCTTTCGGAAAACGGCTGTCGATCTTGTCCGTGAAGCTTGAAAGAAGTTATGATGCCGCCCAGAAGCAGGAGAACAAGTAGCTTTCTGCAGAAGAGAAGGAAGCATGACTCGTTCAGGAGGGCTCCTTGTTGATAGTCTCGAAACGGTGTCGGTGTTGCTCCTGCCGAAACTGCCCCTGCGCTGTGGGATACGGAGTGGGTCCTTGGGAAGCGTCCTGAAGACCCCAAGGCCTGGTTCATCATGGCTTTTTCCCGTCCCGTGCACTCCAGACCCCCCCAGACAGTCACGTGTGCATTGCGCAATTCCAGGAACATCCGAGCAGCGCTCTATATTTAAATGATGGAAGTGTTAGCTGAGCTCCGTTTTCTGCGTTCATCCATTTTAGGATGGGGGTCATCTGAGAGGCAGGGGGAAAGTGAAAATGATCTCCCAGAAAGGGCATGGCGTTGGCATAACCTGAGACCCTGAACAATAGCCTTCTCCCCTGTCGCCAAGATGGGTCCCTGAGCTCTGCATAAACATTCAGAGATCCTCTCTCATCCCGGGTCTAAACCCTTCCAAGAGACTCCTTTAACCATTCCAGCCTTCCAGTTTATTTTCTTGCAATCTCCTCTCGGATTTCTAAAAGGACTTCTAAGACTCTCGTGAGGAATTGTGAGAACGTCATGGCCTACCTGCAGTACAATCTGTTTGGTTTTCTCCCTGCGTCAGGCATTAGCCTGTCCCACTGCCTGTGTGCAAGAGGGTCGTGTTGCTTCTGTAGTCCCCAAGGCTGCAGTACTGCTGCATCCAGTCTGTCCAGAGGCTCAGATCAGACGGAAGTCTTCTCGGAAGAACAGCTGTGATGTTTTGCTTGTAAAATGTCTTGGATCTCTTGCTCTTCGAGTGTCATGTTTTTGACAAAAGACCAGACGTTTATTAGCCTTTTGTGGCCGCGGTCTTTGATCTGCGGAGTGCGCCGGCCAGATGAGGGGAGAGTTGTTTTCAGTGGGATGGGGGTGTGGGTGATTTTTCTGTTCTGGGGGCGGGGTCTCCTTTGCTGTTAGTCCGCACTGCCCCTTTCTCTAACTCCCAGCTAATCCACACAGCAGCTCGGAAGGTATTTTCCCATTTTCTAGTCCATTCTTGTTGCCTCTCCCCACTTGCCCACAGCATTCTTCCAGGCCCTCAGCCTTAACCAACTCTTTATTTGCACCATGTGCTGCTGCATCCACATGATTTGCTGTGCCTTATCTCTGTTCTGCTGCATGAAGGAGGCTTCCACTGCAATAGGCTAGGACTTCTGACCAGAGGGCTGCAAATGGCAATTCAAGGACATGTCCTTGATAGCTGGAGATTCCCTGAAATTAGCCCAAAAGCTGCAATAAGAGGCATGGGTTCAAGGGGCTTCATGGATAGAACAACATTGAACGAAATGGGAAGGAGAGGTTCAGAATGGCACTGATAGTGTATCACAGGAGCCCCCACTCAGTATATGACTGTGGCTTTTATGGGCCCATCACTGCTTGGGACACGGCTGACAGGTCCTGAACGGAGCAGGTATCTTCCCAGTCGTGTGCTGGCCTCCTTACGGGCTACTGGATTAAAAGCTTGGTGTGATGGGACCTGCCTGTGCACCGCCTGCCAAAGGAAAAGAATCCATCATCTTGTCTGGAATCCAGCCCGATGGGCTGTTTGTGCTTTTCCACTAGACTTGTGTGCCTTTAAACTGCAGCCAATTCAAACATGGAAGGCTGTTCATTGGAGCTTGTTTTATTATTTTTATTAGTTTTTTTTTTGTCTGGGTGTCGAGACGGGGCGCGACACCCAGACAAAAGGACAGCAGTGCTGTCTTTCCCTGCGTACATCGTGCCATCTTCATCCAGTAACTTCCCTACAGTCCTTTTAAGTCACTAACAATGAGTAGACCTATGTTTTTTCTATCCCAGTGATTGAGAGCTCTTGCACCAAGTCAAAGTGCTTGTGTTGCTGTAAGCGTCAGCAGAAACCTGTTGGAGCAGGAATGTCCATGGTGCTCCGGCTCAGGCTGGGTGTGTGTGTGTGTCTGGTGTGCAGCTCACTAGCGTGTGGCTCTGTGGTTTGGCGGGCGGCCAGTCTCCCTCACAGGCCTCCATTCACAAGACCAGCCTCGCTGCCACAGGCAAGGAGAGCTGTTTACTGCACAGTCACGTGGGACCAGCGCTTCCTGTTTCCCCAGAGCCAGCCAAGAAGCTTCTAATTTTCCACATCCCACTCGTCTTTAAACCCAGCCCTGCTATTTTAAAATGAGCACGCTGGGATACGGCCCTGAGCACAAAATGGAGCACACCAAAACAGTGGTGTCCTATAGGTTGGCCTGAAGGCCTGATGCACATGGAGAAACCTATTTATGCTGCAAGTGCTTTGAGGAACCTGAGATATTCTATTTTATTCTGAGGTGCCAATTGTAATGCAGAGAAGGTCCGTTTAGGGACAGGCATTTGGACCACTTTCAGTTCATCCTAGGAATGGTCCATCTCGGGTTTTCCTTTCGGATATCTGTTATGGAGTGCTTGAAAGCATATGGATGATCTGAAACCGGACTGCATAGTATCTGAGCTCATTGCTCCAACAATAGGAGACAGTCAAGCCCATCCCCAACCACTGCACTGTTCAGGCTGAGTGATCTATTAAGCTCTTGTTATAGTCCGCCTTGGATAGTGTTTCAGTGCGTATCATGTGCCTAGGGAAATTGGAGTTAAATGTAAAACTAATGGCAAGAAGCAGCAGCTAATGGTTACAATGCACCAAGAAACATCTTTCAGTCATTAGATTACAGCAGATCTTATTCATGGCGCTATTGACTGGCCAGTAATGAAACGAAGAATGGCGCGTTATATTGCTTATGGATATATGATATGATACTGACTGGCCAACCATGAAGTTGCCTTCTGGTTCTTATCCACTTGTAGTAGTGCTGCAAATGTGCAGGAGGAGGGCTATGGAAGGGAATGTCACCTGAATGGGGAGAAGTCTGTTGCCCCATCCTTAACTTAGTGTCCATCTTGCATGCTGGAAGAGGAGAGGCAACAGTCCAGCTCCTGGATACGAGGTGGAGGGGCAGTACTGGTGTGAATCAGATGTCTCCAGGTGGCTGGATTAAGATGCTAGAACAGGTTAAGCAGTTGTGTGCTTATAACTGCTTTTTAACTTTTTAATATGCAAAAAAAACCTGCTATTTTCCTAATGTGATCTCATGAAGGTAGCTTGATTTCTGGGTCACCTGTTTTTAATGGGAGGAATTCTTGGTTCCTTGGCAGTGGTGTTCCACGGTCCCCCACCTAACAAGATCAAGCGAGAGTTGCAGAGTCCTTCCAAGGAGCTGTCATCCTGCAGGCAGGAACAGAACCTCAGCATGCCCTATGGAGAGAAGTGCCTTTACAGCTACAGGTAAGTCTTGGCCCGCCTCTGGACAATCATGCTCCTTTTAGTATGGCCGTGGCTTGGCCAATGGCCTGCAAAATGCACGCTCTGGATTTCCCTGACAATTCGTTTCTCTCTCACCAGTGCCTATGACAGAAAGCCCCCCGTTGGGTTCAAGCCATTAACGCCTCCCTCCACGCCTGTTTCACCCTGCGGCTCTGCTCACACTCCGGTATCTCGCAGTGTGGCGCTCCACGAGCAGGCCTCGCCTCCAGTCCCCGCCCAGGCGCAGGGAGCCCGGCCCCTCCACGGACAGACCCCGCCCCCGGGCTCCACGCACAGTCAGAGGCCACACCCACTCCACAGCCAGACTCCTCCCTTTGCAGTTCCCCGCCCACCTGTTGCCTGCCCTGAAGGAGCCTACAGCACTGAGCACAGGTGAGTGCCCCCACCCTGACGAAGGGGGCTCCAGCCTCCTTGAGTGAGGCAACAATCTGCAGTCGGCGTCACTTAGAGCGATGCTGCGCTGTTTCTGTCTTGTCATGATTGCCATACTGCCGCGACGGGGTATAATTAGCCTTTGTCCCCCATTATCAGTTAATGAGGCAATTAGACAGTGGTGTTCAAAGCATCTCGTGAAACTGTGAACCTGGTCAGGACAGGGGAAAAAACAATTCTCAGCAGGATACTGCCAAATCGGTCACTGAAGCTAAATTTAGTTTTGAACACGAGCCCAGAAGCGCTAGCTGATTAGGGAAGGAATCTTTTAAGCGCGGAGCGCGTCTTATTCCCCGAGTGCAAGCGAGGGTCACGTCGAGCTGTCGCGGGTTTGCAGAATAATTGGCGTCGTCTTATGAGCAGTGTTGATTTTCAATGGGATTTCAAACTGTGGTGAAGAGCTCCAGGTTCGAGATGAGAGGAGTCGGGGCTGTGGCCCCTGTTTGGCGTTGCCGGGGTCGTTGTGCTCGAACTGGCGCTGCGGTGGCTGTTATTAACGGGACACCGTGGGAACGGCCGGCCTGGCACTCTCCCCTTGCCCAGGATTCCTCCCTGTCACCAGGAACTGCTGGCATGTCGGGGAAGGGGGGGGCGGGGGGGACTGGCCGCTGAGGATCCCGACAAGAGGGGCATCTGCCAAGCCCCTCGGCGGGCGAAGATCCCACCTGCTATGCCGCCTGGTGACGGCTCACCTGCCGGCAGACTCTCGGACAGAGCGGGCTCGTCACGGCCTGTGAGCTCAGCCGGGTCTTCTGAACCTTAAGTGCGACTCCAGCGACGAGCCTTCTGGGAGTCTTTTGCTCTGCCAGCTGTCTGGCTCCTGCTTTCACTGGGTCGCCTCCACATGAGCATGTGTGATTACTCACTTCAGGCCTTTCTGCTGTGGACAGCTGTGACGTGAATGTCAGACCATGTCCAGGTCTGCCAGTGTTTCTGATCTGTCGCTGGGCAATCTGTTTGAGCTGGGTGTGACATTTTTCCTTGTGGAGTTGGACCATCTCCGTTCCCGAGCCGGGAGCAGTGCCCAGAGGGGCTCCCGCACGCTGCTCTAACCTCCCTGTCCTCTGTGTCCTCTCCCAGGTTTCACCGGCAGCTCTCCGAGCCCTGCCTGCCCCGGGGCTGCCCCCCCTACCCATCCCCGGCCCCCAGCACCGCCGCCCCCCGAGACGGCCGGCCCCCCTACCACCGCCAGATGTCGGAGCCGCTTGTCCCAGCGCCCCCGCAGGGCTTCAAACAGGAACTGCAGGATCCCCGATATGCCGAGCAGGGGGCCGTCGCCATGGGGCCCCCCCAGCCTGCCTTCCACCCCCTGGCCATCAAGCAGGAGCCCCGAGACTACTGCTTTGACTCAGGTGAGCCCACTTTCGCCCCCCCCAGCCAGCGCCGCTCTCGGAAGCGGACTCAATCCCGCTGTCCCACCAACCCCCTGCCCGGACAGCCGGTCTGAGCCCCTCCAGTCCACGCGCAGGAGGGATGTCCCAGACGGGTGGAGGTATTCGGGGAATGTCGGGATCCGAGCGGTCCGTGGGGCCAGCCTGCCAGCGGTCTGGCTGGGAGAGAGCTCTGGAATGTCCCCGGCCGTGTTTGCTCTCTTCCCTTGCACCCACCTGAAAGTTCTCACTGTCCCGCGAGAGGTCCCAGCAGAGAGACGCTCGCATTCCAGCTCGGAGCCCTCAGTCCTGCTCTCTCCCGCATTCGTCTCCCTTCCCCTGGTTTCGGCAGCTCCCAGCCCGACTGCAGGGGCCGGAATACCTCGATTAAACCCAGTCGCTCGGGTTTAACATGGAGGCAGGAGGGCGAGTCCATCCTTTTCCTCCAGTTCAAGGCTCCGCCATCGACTGACTTACCATGCAGTGTTTAAAAAGCACAGTACAGATTGGCAGAAAATAGAAACTGGGATAAATGAGTAATGCAAAGCTGAACTATAAACCTAATCTGGTAAATTTAGAATAATGTATTCTGGTAGGTGTCATTTTCTGCGGATAAGCTGTAGCTGCTTCTGAGCTATCCCCCAGTTTCTGATGTCTGATGCACTGCCTCCCCACATTGCTGGAGGAGTTGATAAGCTGGTGGGCAGCACATTCCTGCATCCCTGCCTCTCAGGGTCAGGGAGACAGCTGTGGTTGCTTCCCTTCTCCGTCTCTCTCGTAGTCCGCGCGGCCTTCTGACTTGAGAGCCCAGTGATGCAATTCCAAATCCCCTAATCATCTTACTGCCTATAAATACCCCCGGCAGGCAGCGTAGAGCTGGAGGAGGAGGTTGCGTGTGCACGTTTGAAGGCAGACAGCAGGGATTCAGCCAGGGAAGGGCCGCTGTGATGGTGCAACAGAGAGGCAGAGGCCATCGGCGTTCAGGGCAGAGACAGTGAGGCCATGGAGGGTGGGCACGCGTGGGCACCCACCTCTAATTATGCCGTGGGGCCTAGTGGTACCTCAGAAGTAGGTAGATGTGAGGACTCGGTGAGGAAGTGCTGTGAAGAAGGGGTAAAGAAACCTGAATCCGTTTCATACGCTGTTGACTTGAGGCTCGAATTCTGATGGAGGCAGTCTTTGTTTTAGTCAAAGTACCAAATCATTGAGGGCAGAGCAAACAGCTATCAAAGAGAATGCAGTTGTCCTCATTTAATCTTCCAGCTTGGCAGTAATGTCCCCGTCAGACCAGTCTATGGCGTGCGCAGAAAGGGACTCCTTGCCCCTCTCTGACAGCCTTTTGCCCTGTTTACCGGATTGGCTTTGGAAGCGGCTCTGATGGATCAGGGAAGCACTCAGTTGAGTGCGTGTGCTTTGATCCTGCCAGATGTGGAGGTGGGGCCCAGCTGTCGCACCAGAACGGGTTATATAAGCGGCGGGGCGCCGCGGCAGCTCTGGGGTCTGATACGGGCTTGGGACAGAGAGGCTTAATTAGAGGCAGGCTGGCAGGGAGGGAAGAGGGAGATGTTAGAATAGCACATTTCAAATTTAAATATGGAAATAAGCATCTGAATAAAGAGTGGCAGCCCAGTATGTGGGAAGGGGCAGAGCTGCTCCCAGTAGAGGCTATACCCCAGAACAGCGAGGCTGGTAGCAGTATGGGCTAGGGTAGGGGTCTCCAGCCCCAATCCAGAATGTTGTATGTCATCAATTTCTGAAGACTTTCACAAGAGTTTCACTGTGATCGATTAAGCAAGCAATTTGTGACACTGAGTAATTTAGCAATTGTTCTGGGACCAAAATATAAGGCCACATCAAGCCCTTCGAGGACGGGGCCCTCCTAATGAGGATGTTTGTGTTATTCGTCAGTACCTTACAGGTATTGGCAATGCTTAGCAGAGGGTTACCAGTGAGACGGATGGGGTGGGGCTCTCCATGACCAGGCTTGGAGATCCCTGGGTTAGGAGGACTGGGGCTGATAGCCTTGAGTAAGAACAAGGCTCCACAGGGGAACTCATCCAGAGGAAGCGCAGGAAAGCTAAACAGGTCGGACCAAACCTGGCTGGATCTTGTTTGTCCCTCTTGAGTTTAAAGAGAATTGTTGGGACTGTGGGGGAGGGGACTTGGTGACCCTTGTGGAGAGACTCAGCGGAGAATTGTAATCGTGTACTGCCCTACCTGCCCCTCTGACGAAGCTCCCATCTCTTCTTGTTGCAGAAGTGCCTAACTGCCACTCCTCGTTCGGGAGGGGAGCCAGCTTCTACCCCAACAGCCATGACGGTAAGTCACCCAGCCCATCCTCTGCTCCTGCGCGCCGGTCAGAGTCCCTCTAAACTCCGTTCTGCACGCATCTCCGCTGGGAGCGGTGTGAATGAAGGCGGTGGCGCAGTGGTCCTGATGAGCAGCTATTTTTAAAACTGCAGATCGAGACAGTTGTGGGTCGGCGGAGATCTCTCATGTGGGCGTGCTTCGCAGTAATCCTTTAAACGTGCTGTGTATAAACTCGGGAACCTTCTCGGCCTTGGATGTGGTGTTCAGGCATGTCTCTCGGTGTTTGTGGTTTCATTGCATGGAAGGAAAGTGAGCTCAGAGGCGTGATCAGGAGGTTGAAGAGATGAGTAGCAATGACGTGAAGCTGTGTGCTGGGGTTTCAGGTCTTGGTTTAGGGCTGGGCCATCCACTCCCGGACAGTGCCTGTTGAGAGTCTCTGGGAGAAGCTGCTAAACTGCAGTAGTTAGATAGTTTAGCTCATTAAGAGTTGAGTTGGGATGAAAACACTCCAGGATCTAGGGTTCTGAAATTCACTCTAGGTCCTGTAAGAGACGCCATATCTCTTGGTTTTCATGATTTGAATCAATGATTGAATCGATCATCATAATTGGTCTGTTTTAAGGCCATTGACGATTAAACATTACACATAAAACTCTCAAGGTCTAGTAAGTGAATATCTGTTGTAGGGAATGACTCGGAGTAGCTATTCTGGGGAGGATCCGGAGACTGAGACAGGATTGACTCTACAATGTGCTGCGTCACACATTTTACTTTGTTTTTAGATGTACTCTAAATAAGCAGTGGATGAGAGCGCTGAAACTGTCCACAATCCCCTGCTCTCCCATTCACACCTTGTCCTCCTCTCTGCAGGCTTCGCCTTCGACAGAGAGCCCCACATGTACTATGATGACACCTGTGTGGTGCCCGAGAGGCTGGAGGGTGAGTATCTGTGCAGGGACAGGGTGTCTCCACTTATCTAGCTCTGAGCATTTGTCAGTGTGTTCCCCATTAGTCTTTAGATGAAAAATGAGCAGCAGTGATCAAGGCTCTGGACTTTTGGGTTCAAGTCCCGGGTGGCACACTGCTGTACTATCATACCCTTGAGCTAGATCATTTTAGATTGCTCCAGTAAATACTTCAGCTGCATAAATGGGTAAAAATGCTTTTTTTGTGGCAAAAACGTTGGCCACACAAAACAATACCTTCTTTACAATACATTACCGTAATCTTAGCCACTTCGTGTCTTTGCCACTGTATTACAATACCAACGCAAGAGTGAATAAGTGTGAGTGAGGAAGTATCCCAGCAGGCTGTCCTGTGCTGACAGCCCCTGTTCTTCCAGGGAAAGTGAAGCAGGAACCGGTGGTGTATCGCGAGGGGCCGCCCTACCAGCGCCGGGGTTCCCTGCAGCTCTGGCAGTTCCTGGTCACTCTGCTGGACGACCCGGCCAACGGCCACTTCATCGCCTGGACTGGCCGCGGCATGGAGTTCAAGCTCATCGAGCCGGAGGAGGTGAGACTGCCCGTGGCGTCCGGTGGTGCCGTGGGCCCGGAGCGGTGTTGAGCCCGCTGGCCGCTGTGTGTAGCCCTCTCCTTGACCCGCGCTCTCTGTGGCAGGTGGCGCGGCGCTGGGGCATCCAGAAGAACAGGCCTGCCATGAACTACGACAAGCTGAGCCGGTCGCTGCGCTACTACTATGAGAAGGGCATCATGCAGAAGGTGAGGACTTCCTCCTGGCCCCCTGCCTCCCTCTCCCTGTCCCTGTTCTTTCCTTCTGTCTCCCGCCGTTGCCCCTCGGCCAGTGGGCAAGGGATTGGTTTCTAAAAGCAGCTACGGCCGAGAAATTGCGGGTTTTTGATGTGGAGTAGAAATGTATCCAAACCCATGGCGTTCAACGTCATCGGGTTGTATTTTCTGTCACTTCGTTACTAGATGTGTCCAGTAATCTTGGTGCGAGTTGTAACCTGTTTTTCCTCTCGCTCTCAGGTCGCGGGAGAGCGGTATGTGTACAAGTTTGTGTGCGACCCCGAGGCGCTCTTCACTATGGCCTTCCCCGACAACCAGCGGCCCAGCCTGAAGTCCGATCCGGACAGCTTGACGGGGCCCGAGGACGACACCCTGCCCCTCACGCACTACGACGACGGCGCCCCCTACCTGGTGGACGGCGCAGAGCAGTGTGTGACTGGCCTCCCATTTCACGATGGCTATGTGTACTGACTTGCCCCCTCAGCTCCGACTGCAGTGCAGGACCAGGGGACTGTTTACCTTGACCCCTTGCCTCTCTCCTGTCTGCTTCCAGATTCATATCAAAAGGAGGAGGAGGAGGAGCCTGCGCCCTTGCTCTCCTCCATGATTGGGCTCTGGAGCTGAGGGGGTGTGGATAGACTCTGGACTCAGCTGGCTCCACCCCCTCCAGCAAAGGGGGAGGGGCCACTATTGCCATGGAATCTGGGCGGGGCCAGGGGAGAGGCGACAGTGCCGGAGAGCCGATGGCTCTTTCTGCACAGACTGTGTGAAACTGTAGCATTTCCGTACTGACAATCTGCTTTTTCTAAGAAACCCATTGGGGTAAAAAAAAAAAGGGTTTTCAAAACCACAATACAGTTCTATAGGTTTTTTGGTCCCTCTTTTTTATCTGTAATTTTAGGGGAAAAGTTTTAAAAAGAAAAGGGCTTCTATTTGCAAAAAAAAGCGTTCTGCAAGTTTTTTTGTTTTCAAAGAAAACAAGTACAAAAGTGACTTTTTATGAGAATCCCTAACAGTTAGGCCTGCGCTGTCGCAATGTAGTTTTTCCGTTTTGAATCTGATCAAGCCTGGTGGTTCCTTAAAACTCTCTGGTCTTTGACTTGTTTCCCCTTGTCTGACGGGTCTCTAACAGAGGGTAACACTTCCCAGATGGAGCCTCTGTTGCCTTTGTGTTGGGACGAGATTACCTTGCGTACTGTTTCAGCATGATGGAAGACGTCACTCTGCAAAGCCAGTATCATGACGCTTTTCTTCATTTTATTACATATGTAAAGCTTGTCCGCCAGCAAGAGCTTGTAGTGATTTCTTTTCGCTAAACCTGCCAGCTTGTACAGTGATGGACTTGTGCTGTTGCCAACAATCAATATGCCAGTGACAGCCAGGTGAGGCCTGAGCCCTTAAAAGCAGGTACCCCCGCCCCCCCACGTTAAAACGAGATGGGGACAGCAGTTGAACTTGAGGAGCTCCATAACTCAACTCGTCCCCCACACACAGGCCTTCTGCACAGCACCTTGGTAACAGGAAGTGATGCAGCAAATGGTCACATGACCACTCCCAGGAGGCTGGTGACAACTGATGTTTTTTTTTTGTTGTTGTTGTTGATTTGTGTGTGACAGTTCAAAAGGGATGCACATGACAGTATTTTTTTTTTCCTGAAGCTTGGAAAGTTTATAAATACATATTCATTAAAAGGAATTAAAAGTTTTGTAGGGGTCTTTTTGTATTTAGAGCTTAAAGTTTCTTTGGCACTGTTCTCCTATGAGATTTTGGCTAACTGACTGGAATGGACAGCATTACCAGCCTGCCTGGGGTGGGGAGGGCAGATTTACCCTACTTTTCAGGGACTGGTATGTAAAAGCACTCCCCCTCCCACCACCCCAGCTTCATTTCAGTGTCTCTGTTCCTCTGTGTGCAGAAGACCCTGCCTTTCTCTGCATGGTGTATTAGACAGGCTACTGCCCACTGACATATCGCTTTACATGCGACAAAGAAATTGTGTAAAGTTCTCTGCATTTATATTGTTTCATGGAGTTGTTTTTGAAAAAAAATACATATATTTTTGCAAAGGCTGCATCTGTTTGTTTTGGATTTATTGTATAAGCTGTATAGTTCTGCCTTTTACAAATCTGTATATCTCTAACTACGATCCCTGTGACGCAGTGATGTTTGAATGAGTTACAAAGACCTTGCCCTTTCTTTGGGGGGTGTAGGGTGAGGACTGAGGTGTTGTGAGCCCCCATCCTCTCTCGAAGTTAGGGCTTGTCTGAGCTTGTACAGGCTTCACCTACCCTCACAATGTGTCCCTCACACTGCTGAGTTAATCTGTACTGAGTACAATAAAGAATCCTTTCTGCTTCACTCGGGCTGTGCTTGTTTTGTTTCCTTTATATCTCCTGAGAGGCCTCTGTGTTCATCATAACCTGGCACATGGCCGCACCGCTGCCTGAAGAAGAGTTTCCTAGAGCACTTGTATACCATCTGATAGTTGTGTGCTTGGGATCTGAGGTCTGTGATCACGGTATCGGAGGTGAACTGAATTGTGCTCATCCATCCCTGCAGCTGCACGGGAGTTTGTAACACATTTTCAGGGCCCTCAAGAGAGCGGATTGTTTGATATCCATTGAAGAATTTGCTGACTAAAAGCCTGGCTAGATGTGGGGTTTTGATTTCAAGTAAACGATGCCTGCAGCCCAGTCTATTGATCCTTTAAGAGTCTGTATTGATGGATTTAGTCCTTCTGAGGTTCCACTTGCAGCAATAGCCAAGCACCAGAGGAACGAGGGAGGGAACATGATTCATTTCAAAAGTGCATCTGTTGTTATTGACAGACAGGGTTATTGGCAATATACCGCTATATCAGATTACAGAGCAAAAGGTTTTAAAAACGCAACCAACATTGTTCTAATACTTTTTCTAATGCTTCTCTGTATATTTATCCAGTCTGTAGAAAGCTTCAAGGTCTTGGTTTGTACCAAAGGTCTCTACATGTACGCAAACAGGAAGCTGTTACACAGTCTGACAGGAACCTGAGCTCAAAGAAATATTACTAATGGAAAAAAGAGAAACATCCTGTCTACAAGGCACTATGTAACCTGATTGTTAAATTAAGAGCTGAAATTGATTTCATATCAGAAATGACTGAGCACTGTTAATTACTTTTAAAACATCCTGAAGCCTGCAGTGTAATTTCTTAGCAATAACTCTCGTGTTTAATTATTATATATCGATGTTATATTTACTATTTGATTTTTGTTTTGAAAATGAATAGCAATATCTAGATTCGCTCTAGAAATAATCTTTAATTGCAGCCCTTTGAATCCAGCAGGCACTGCTTATAATGCTAGTGTAAAAGGTTCTATGGTATACCAATTTTAAAATCAAATGTTCTGAATTATAAAAAGATAAACTGGCAGACAAGGCATCTCTTGCTATTCCACAAGGAAGAGGCACGTTCTATCCACACCTGAATACTCAGTTTGAGGGATTTTATTAAATCAGATCCAGGCTTCCTGTGAACAGCACTTTATTAATAATAAATAATATTATATCATTAAAGACTCTCTTAAATCCTAGGATATATTCTGTAGGATTGGACTTTGATCACTAGCTTGTATTCAGGTGGTACTGGGCAGTGGAGTCCTGTTCACTGCAGAAGAATCATTTCAGATGAACTTTCACCAGCTGTAATCCGGATTCCAATGCTCATGGCATTCATTTGCAAATCCTGTTTAACGTTTCTCATTACAGCAGATTGAAACTCCATCACACGCACACGTTTCTCGCAGTGACTTAATGGACCTCTCGATGGATGCGTCTTCGTGTACAGGCATCCGATTATGTCTCATGTGACCCAAACGTATCGGCTCTTGCTAGATTAGGCCACAACAAAATCATAATGTTTTTTTTTCTTCTATTTGCTTTTGCATTGCCATCTTAATCGAACGGCTTCTCCGTAAGTGCTCCGAACATCGCCTGCTCTCGCTCCCTTCCCCCACCAGTGCTGCGTCTCCACCGCTGACGCTTCAGCGCTAATCTCCTTGACTGTCCTGATCCACTTACGGAGATCAGCGTGATCAGATTGTGGTGATCAGATGTCAGGGCCAGAGGACAGGTGTGCTGAACTCTCCTGCTCTGCTGCTTTGTGAACTTTTTACCGTTTGACCACGGAGCCACGGACTCCCAGGTAACCGCACAGGCCTGTCCACCCACTGGCCAGCTCAGAGAAGATCAGAGCTCCGATGGAAGCAAGTCAGCGGAGGAAATCTTTCGGAAGTCAAAGTCACACCATCGTTCACTTATGTCACTGGGAGTGACAGCCAACGTGCCCATCTGAACAGCGAGTTGCATTAGTCAACCAAGGTATTGCACACTGAAATATTCCCCTTCTATTTCTGCAAGTGGTTAATTAACTTCCTGTTTAAGCTTCTCTTTTTTTAAAGCGTGTAGTGCACTATGTCTTTCTTGCCCTCCTGATTTGCTTTCTGACACATTGATCAACACCTCCTGTCGCTACAGCCCTTGGACGGTGCTTGTCCTCGTATTAGAGCATACACGGACATGCAAATAAGCATTTCACTGCAATTGAGCATATGCCAACTAAACTGAACTGATCTGTGGGCGTGTCTGCTGTTGAGCCACCTGGCATTTTGCTGGCAGAAGGCGCTACTGGGCCTCATGAAAGACGTAGCAGTAACCAGAGGAGCTGAAGCCGATGACAAGACAAACTCTCCGGAATCTAGCAAACCCGAGAGGTACAAAACAGTAATGTTTCCTAACATGTGTACAGCAGCTTTCATCCCAAAGGCTCTCAAAGCACTTTGCACACAGTGAGGACCCCATTTCATCTGTCTTTTAAGTGCAGCCCCCAGCTGGGGTGACCAGCATCCCCACCGCCCAGCAGATCGGGTGGGGAAGTGAAGATATGCTTCACTGACTGACTGGAAGGCAAGAGGTAATGGTACTGAGTTCTGAACGCACTATTGCTTTGTGCACATACAGAGTAATATAAGATGCCAGGTTTTTATGGGGGGGGGGTAAACTCTTTTATGATTACCACAAACCCTTGTGAGAGGACCTCAGGGCAGTGTTTGAAACACTAGGGGTGCCAACTCTGGTGTCCAGGACACCCTGCCCTCTGCCCTCCTGGAGCTTCTCACGTCATGGCCTGGTCTGCTGTGTGGTGGGGCTGCTGGGACAGACTACTGCGGTGCGTCCTCTTCTACACATTCGTGACATTCACGTCATGAATCATGATGAGAAACTGCCTCTCGGATTTGCTAGATAATTTTCCATGAATGCTGTTACCTTCCAGGAGCTCCCAGACTCCTCTTTTTTCCAACGAGACCTTGCTAGCGTCCTCCTGGAGCCGCTGTTTCCTGGCGTGAGCGACGCCCTGTTTCAGGAGACCTGTTCGTGTCTGGTGTTCCAGCTCTCTCCCACCCACACTCGCCACACCACACACCTGTCACACCGTGTCAGCGGCGACACCAAGCACCGCCAAACACATCATCCCTGCAGCCAACAAGGAAGATGCTGCAGCCTGTTTGGAGGAGCAAAAATAGATCAATCAGTTTTAAAATATTAAATACACAAATCCCCAAAGAGATCTGCAAACATCTTTCTAGATGAGTAATCCCAACAGGGGAAGAAAATTATGATTGTACACAAGCAAGACGACAGTATTCTGAGCGCAGCCTTCTTTAGGGGATTTTTTGAAGACCCCAGAGTCATGACTTCACTGCGCGCACAGCTGAATCGCACACAGGAAGCGGCAGATCTTATCAGCCTGAAGCAGTTGATCGATGATGAGAGAGGAACACCACGGCGAGAACACTTCCTGTGTGCTCTGGAATCTGTCTTCACCCCTCCAGGCCAGGCCCAGATGCTGACTCTGCTCCTCCGTGCCCTCTGTCCCTCTCTCCTGCGCAGAAGCTCGGGTCCCCCGACGTCTTAGGGTTACAGGGACGATCTCTGGGCTGCGGTATCCCATTGTGTTAGAACACCTCATTCTTCAGTTTATTGTAACTCCTGCGTACGGGAAATCGGTCTTGGTGATCCTACTAGATTTCCAGGCTCTGAAGGGCAACTGTTGCTGTACTCTGCTCATCTTCCCAGCTGCAGCCCAAAGGCTGAAACCTTTAAAGTTTGAAATTTAGTCAAACATTTTGCATTTTAACACCGCTGATGTGCTCCAGCACACATCCATAGCTTTCTTAGCGTCGTACCAAAGACAGCAAGCGCCTTAGAATCTTTTCTGTTTCATACTCCACTGAGTCCCCCTGCCACTGCAGGTCAGGGGATTAATTAAAAAAAAACATCCTTTTTCACACCAGAGGATCTCCAATGGTTTCACACATAGCGGGGAACCCAGTTCATCTCCCACTGAAGTGCTACACTCACTTGGGGGTCACACCAGCCGCCCCACAGGGGAGACAATGAGAAACTCCTGCACCAGGTGAATTAAGGGGGTTGTTTAGAGAGGCCCAATTGTGCAAGACAGGAAACTGGGGTTAACACCCTACTCTTTCAAACAGTCATTTAGTGGAAAGCTGTCCGTCTGCTGACTGCATGACCTGTAAAAGCCTGTTCAAAACTCAGCTTCCAAAGCTGTCTGACAAAGGGAGAGAGAACGTACAGTGCAGAAGTTTCAACTCACTGAGGCACACAAGTGACACAGGCCCCTGAATGACACCACACTGCAGTTTTGTGCAAGAGGAACAGGATCGCAAAGCTCCAGGACTTACCCAGCTCGTCCGATTCCCTTACCGAACAACTTGTTGTAGCTCCGTGCTTCAGCATGTTTTAGTGGTGGCTTGTCTCCTGCTCCTGCGAGCGCACAGCGGCTCCTGACCTGCAACGATCCGTCACACCAGTCCCCTTCATCTCCGGGGCAACAGGGGCGGACGGAGCCACTCCCCCTCGCCAGCACACGTCCACACGCAGCGAGAGGGCTGGAGCAGGGCCAGCCGTCACTGTTTGGTCACGCAACTTATTTAGGGAAGTCGTCATTAAAGAAATGACACCTTCGGCGCTCCAGAATGACCCCGCCTGCCCGCTGGCCGCCGCCAGACCTCGGCGGCCCCTCGCACACGGGCCTCTGAAGGCCAGGCCAAGGCTCCTCGGGGTGGAGCTCTGGCCGGCCGCGTCTGGGTCCTGCCAGAAACCACTCCAAAGGCCTGGCGGCGGCTGCCGGGCCTGCCCGCCGAGGAGTCGCCCAGCTCACGCGCTGGGGCTGCTGCTGCAGCAGAGCTCTGCGACCTGGCAGAGCTGCAGAATCCTCAGATGGGGTGAGAATAAGACAATCTGATGATTATAATCCTTACACTCCTATAGCGCTTTTCTGGACACTCCACTCAGAGCGCTTTACAGGTCATGGGGCTCCCCTCCACCCCCACCAGTGTGCAGGTCCACCTGGGTGATGCACCAGTGCTCTCCCCACACACCAGCTCTCAGTGGGGAGGAGAGCAGAGTGATGAAGCCAGTTCAGAGATGAGGATTATTAAGAGGCCATGATTGGGAAAGGCCAAGGGAGAATTTGGCCAGGATGCCAGGGTAACACCCCTAATCTTTTCGAGAGACGCCCTGGGATTTTTAATGACCACAGAGAGTCAGGACCTCAGTTTTACGTCTCATCTGAAGGACGGCGCCTTTTAACAGTCTAGTGTCCCCGTCACTATACTGGGGCATTAGGACCCAAACGGACCGCAGGGTGAGCGCCCCCCAATGGTCCCACTCACACCTCTTCCAGCAGCAGCCTCAGCTTTCCCAGGAGTCTCCCATCCTGGTACTGGCCAGGCTCACACTGCTGAGCTGCAGTGGGCTGCCAGTCGTGAGTTGCAGGGTGACATGGCTGCTGGCTGCGCTGACTTCAGCACACAGGACTCGGAAGTACAGTACGCACAGGAGGGCGGGCTCGTTTGAGGCGTCCATCGAGGAGGAGGAAAGGTAGCGTGGGCGTCAGGCTCGAGCTGAGTCAGCGGAAGAGAGAGAAAGCTGGGGTGGGCCAGTAGCAGCACACTGCTGCTGGGAGACGATGGCAGTGTCCATGGGTCCAGCTTCCCTTGTAATCCAGTACTGACCTGCACCTCCCCTGCTGGTTAATGCTGACCTGATCTGCGTTCTGCTGTCACACTGCCCTCAATCTCCTCCCTTACACAACCAGCCCACTTCCCACAGCCTGCTGCCCCACCTGCAGGTGAGAACAGCTTCAGCCCCTGGGCTCGGACCAAAGTCCGGGACGAATCCTCATGGAAACAAAGGAAAAATCAGGATATCAATCATATTGGCTTGGCCATTAATAGATTTTGTGTCCAAATGAAATATGATCTAATAGAGTATTATACTGGCATGAGGTAATGTCAGAAAAGTGTCACACTTCCACAAAACCCACATAAATATGGGCGGTGATGTCACTGCAGGGCTTGAGCTCTGCGGTGAGCACTAGGGCTCCTGGGAAAGCAGCTGGCACGTGACAAGAGCACAGCAATCGAAGCGGTAGGGAATGAGATCCCGGCCTCCTGACGCATCCCAGGCGAGCTTCCCGTTCCAGCAGGGCAAGAGGGGCGGGAACGCCGACAACAGCAGAAATCGAGGAGCAAAATCCGGGCTGTCCAGAACCGACAGTCAGTGACTGCTGGAATGACAGCGAGGGACACAACATGGCCGCACTGAGGGGGCAGACAGAAAAACCAGCGTAGGGAAGCAGTGAGAAGAGACAGGTGGCTGCAGGGGAGATCCAGGACCAAAGGGGAGAAGCAGACAAGTGCCTGATGAGAATTACAAGCAAACAAACGTGTTCTAATCATACGCTATGACTGCCCTACCAAACACACAGCAACCAAGCGGTGAAGCCATCTGCAAGCCTGTTTGTCGAGGAAACAGCGCCCTCTGGTGGTACGTTCACATTCCCACAACTCCCTCGTCGTGGGGGCAGAGGTACAGACTTGCTATTGATCTTCCCGTTTCAGTCTTTAAGGCGAAGGATTAACGCGCGGAGGTTTAGTGGCGCCAGCAGCGAGGCAATTAAATTAAAGGCATTTCGGTTTTATGTCTGCCCACATCAACGTAAACCAGTGCTAGCACTTCAAATCAATTCCACGAGATGTCTTTCTCCTGCTGGCTCCTGTTTTGTCATTGGATGTAGTGAAGACAAATGAGATACTGAAAACTCTTCTTTGCAATAAAGCACTAAACACTAATGATGATGTTGACTGAAAAAAAAACTGTAAAGAAGGAAATAAAAAATAAAACCTGTATAATAACTTAATATTTCTGCATTTTACCCCCAAATGACAATAAGCTTTCCAAATAAGTAATCATTTCTTAAAAACCTAAAGGTATTATAAACCATTATTTCCAGCTTCTCAATAAATAGGTCTCATAATGTTTAAGAGAAAGGCCAGCTTTGTCTTAAACGCTTACAAATGAAAAATTCGCAGCTCTGAATTCCCACGTTTTCTCACGTGTAGAGCAAGAAAATGCTTTTTAACAGGGGAAAGGAAAAAGCAACATGATTTTCGACACAGAATTTCCGAATGTGCACACTCTTTTATACAACACTTGAGCAATTCAAACAACAGGGCCGCCTGCTCCAAACGCCGCGCGCACTGCAACACCGCAAAACCTGTTCAAACCGCTTGATTATATTACGGTATTTAGCACACTAAGATATACGGTGAAGAACGGATACCTGGGAGAACTAAACTGATTTTGATCGTCAGAGTACGGATACGGTGGTGCGGGTGTCCAGTCGCGTTGACGTTGCTGTTTTACAGAAACCAGATGCACGCATCCGCGATCGTCGGCCCAGCAAGCAGGAACTCGGCGTGGCGCTGCCCTCCAGTGGCGAGACCGTGGTACCGCGCGTGTGGAAACAGCTCCGGGCTGTTTACAGACAGGCAGGCGGCTCGAGAACATTAATAATAATAATAATAATAATAATAATAATAGCTTACACTTATATAGCGCTTTTCTGGACACTCCACTCAAAGCGCTTTACAGGTAATGGGG